TGCTTAATCATGTGTGTGCATGTGTGTATTTTATTCAAGCATAAAACTCTTTATGTTCAATCTCATTTTTGCTTATTACATGCTAGTCACGAGCATCTTCCACTCAATGACCCTTCCACTCTGAAGGGTCATTGACCCTTCAGGATATTTGCACATGCCTATTCTGTTGGCTAGAAGACTGCCTTCATGCCCAGCTCTTTCACTTTTTTTTCCAGTTTCACCATAAACAACACTCACTTCAAAAGTAACTTTATTTGACAATACTACATAAAGTAGATCCCTGAGTTTTCATTGTTCCTCTCTGTCTAGTTGCTTGAATATTTATTTCAAGCCAGTTTTAAAATTTTAAATTATTTTATTTATTCATTCTATTCTTTTCACAGAATCTCTTCTTCACTAAATTCCTAAGAAAATATAATTTTTGACCCTTTCACATTGTTTCTTCAGACTGTATTACAACAATGAGCATCTTGTAGATGGGTAATAAATATTGTCCAATAAATAAATGAGGAATTTTTCATCTGAAGAGGTTAGCATGCATACTGTGTGTTTATGAGTGGAACAAGTGTTTCCATGATAATATCTAAGAAATTACTTTTTGAAGTATCTGTCATTGCTGAACGAAATTATTTAGAACCATGATTCTAAGATTTTGTGAATATCTGTTACGTGTCAAGCATTGGCTAGATATATATCATCCAGAAGTATGAGTGACTACCTTTTTATTTGAACTTTGATACCCCCATAATAAACAAAGTTTATATTTCTGCAATGTTGGTCAGAATGAAAGATGAGATTAAAGAAGAGAAACCAAAATATTTTTGTTTGTTTCTCTTTTTTAACTCAGATATAATTACTTGACACTAAACAGTAAATTGTATGATAGTGACGAAGCTCGAATTATACTCCACTAGATTTATTTATAGTTACAGAAATTCTTTCCTGAAGAATAACTGAAACTGCCCGTCACCTCTCAAACAATGAATATTTTCTGAGACTGAACAAAACACCTTGCCTCATGCCTAAGAAAATATTCAATTCAGTCCCTGCACTGATAGATCATCCACAGAAAGTCACCCTAATTCTGTATACGGTAACCAAGAGGTTAATATCTGAAATAAAATCCAAGGAAGATCCTAGTAAGGAGGTAAGAGTTAGAACACAGTTATAGAAGGTCCTCTGGCCAACATTGGTCACTGAAGTTCTATATTTTTCCTTCGCGTTTGGTTCTGAGTGTGGGGTTGTCAAGTATATTGAAGGAAGATACTGATTTCTTCACATTTGTTACCTGTTCCTCCACTCGTCCAGCCAGATTACCATTCTCTTCAGAAAGACTCTGGTTTATCCCCAGCTGTCTCCTTTTCAGGACTTGATAGATGTTTTCTGTCTCTGGTGAAACTTGTCCTATATTAAGAGGTCTTTTCATTGAGATAGCTCCATTTCCCCTTCTCCCTTCAGCATCCCACCTGTCCAGAAGATTTGAAACATTTTCTGCAATTCTATCATTTATAATTTTAATGAAATGTTTGCCAGAGAGAAAATTCCATGAAGGTAAAAAAAAAAAAAGGCTGATTTTGGGGGTGTGGTATACTGCTATATTTTCAGTACCCAGCCCAGTCCTGGAACATAGTTCGTGTTCAGTGAGTATTTACTGACTGATAGAAACCCATCACCCTATCAGACACACAAACTGTCAGACATATATTTGGCTCTCTGATTTTGGAATCTCAACACACATTCCCATTTTTGCCATGGACATTAGAGAGGAGTAAGTGGAGAATATCCTATTTAACCTTCCTGTTAAACTGGGAGCCAAGTAATCTGCAAATGACTATATCATGTCACCACGGAATTAGAGTCGAAAGATGTATACCATCTTAAGTCTTTTGACTTAAAACAAATTACCTGAAACTATCAGATTTTTCAAAAAATATAGCTAATTAGCAATGATAACATCTATTAACATTTAATTATGCAACAGAGGGATTATTTAAAAGGATTCTAATCAAACGTGATTCAGGCAGATTTTGTGTAATGGACTGTGAACCATTACTCCCTATTGAGGTTGTGGTTACACTTTTGAGAGAACAAATTCAAGGGAAGGTCACCTTTAACTTCAGAATCATGAGAAGGTGGACGGAGCACATATGATTTCCAATTCTACTTTCAAAGTGAATCTAGACCTAGTTTAGCTCAGATGTATCATGAACTGGAGATAACTGCCTAGACAGGAGAAAGCGACCTCCCTCTTTTTCTTCTTCTTTTTCATTCTGACTGTATTTAGATGAGTTCAATTCAGTGGAAAAAATATAAAGCACAACAGAATTCTCTATGTTCATGTTGATACTCATTTTCATTTTGTGAGCCCTTTCGAAAACCTGTTTACATAGGCCCTCTCAGTCCAGACAGTTTATACAGCCTGGATTTTTGTTAATGGCTTATCCTTCCTTGATTATTGCTAGTAATTTCCAGCTACACCATCTCCCAAGAAGCTGATCCCCTGAGTTTAGCCTTAAATCCACACCTTCCAGCCAAACAAGACATTTGAATGTCACCTGCAGTTTTTCTGAGGCTGTTGTAAAGCAGACATAAATTGTTTAAGAATATTGAGAAAACTATGAATTTAATGGCTCATTCGGTTTTTGACGTTTATTTTTCATGAGCATGTGATCATCTGCTAAGGAATATTTTAGTTCCATAGTGAGTCAGTCATTTGTGTGGTATTATGAGAGATGATTGAAAGTATATCTTTGTTGAACTTCTATAAGTAAACACTTGTGTGAATAGCAAATACAAATTTTGGTAAATGTTAAATATAAAAATTAGATCATTGAGCATTAGACGTAACTTAGAAGTGATGTAAGGAATAAAACCTGAATTCTAACTAGCACAAAGGATTCAAAGAGTTCAAGAAAGTTGTTTCAACAATGGCATGTACATCAGTCAGCCATATGTCCAAAAATGTTGCTAAGGCATCAAAGATCTGATCCTTTCATTTAACTAATGAACTCTAATAAATATGCCTAAACAGATCATTAGAGGATAAGATGGTGTAGCACACATACACAAAACATAAGTGGTTCTTCAGACAAAGAGTCATTCATTGTGATTTGCAAAAATCATAAAACAAAGAATCAATTTTTTATTTTGGTTTTGCATAGGAAAGATGAGAAAACAATGCATTTTTTTCTGAAGTTAAGAAGAACGACTGAGAAATCATTAAAACTTTGAAAACAGTCAAAATCCACAGGGCAAACCTACAAATTCCCAAAGATCCAAGAAGCATGCTTGTCAATAACACAAGTGAAGCCAATGTTGAGTTTTTGAAATATCAATGTCATTGACTCTTTGAACTTACGTGATAAGGTTTGCATGATCTATGGGGTTTTATTTAAATTCTGAAGTATTTTACAGACTCTATGTGATTGAAAAAGTCTAGCTTATCAGTCTGTGATTTGGCTACATTATCTCAGCAATGATTGGTCCACACAACAACCATATCCTTGAAACAACCTGACATATTTTGATCAAACTCTCTCTGACAACTCAATCTACCAATTTAGGTAGATGGTATTTATTGATATATGTGTATTAAAAAAACCACATACGCACTCCCTTCTCAAAGGATCACAAATGAAGATGCTCAAAACGTGTGATTGACGGGGGTAATTCCACATAATAAAATTAGGAAACATCTAAGCTAATGTTAGAATGTTATAAAAATAAACATATATGTCTACTAAAGCTGAATGCTTTGATGAGATCTTGTCTTGATGTTTAAAAGTTAATCAGTTTTATTATTAGAATTTTAGCTTTAACGTGTGTGTGTGTGTGGAGGGGGTGGTGTCTTATTCTGGTAGATGGAAACAATACTAATCCTCCAGATACGTGGGAGTAGTCTATGGGGAAATGACCACTGTTTTATAGGAGGGTAACAAATTGATCATTTATAATAAAAGCATATGGCTACAGTGCTAGTCCTTTCTTTAGGGGAAAAAAATCTGACTCTTGTCAGGTAAGCTGCTTAGCAAATAGTTAAGTATAATTCCTAACACCCACATGAGGCACAAGAATAGTTGGATTAACAACTCCAGTGTCATACTGTCAGCTGCTGTTTATTTAAATTAAAATGTCACCATCCAGAAATAAATTAGGAAGTTGAAAAATGATAAATTTCTTAAACATACAGTACTTTGGTACCTTGTTCAAATAAATCTGTTACATTTATGGTTTTGCAGAACTTTACATAGGCTATTTCCATTTTGACATTCAGAGTATAGCAGATATTTGTTTCTGTTCATTTTGTTTAACTCTTTTCCTCGCTTTCTTCCTCCCTCTTTTTCTCTCTCCCTCCCTCCCTCCCACTCCCATTCCCGTTCCCTCTCCCTCTCCCTTTCCTTCTCCCTCTCTCTCGCTTTCTTTATGTTTCTTTTTTCAGTTTTCATCTATGCTATATGAGGCACAAAAAAATGTTCTACTAATACACACATCTAAAACGCGTGTTGTTCATCTTATGCTGATCTAAATGTATATACATATTTACAGATTTCAATATTCACTTCCTACAACTTTCTATAAACCACTCGTCTTCTTGGGTTTCACTGTTATTTGTTATTCATATGTTTGCTATGAAACAAATGTCTCCTCTCCATGAGGTTTTACCTTGCTTCTTGTCATTTGAAAGTAAAAATTCAGTCCCCATCACTCTAAGACATCCCCTGCTATCATCCATATCCCAAGATATTTTAAGACAGTGATTTGGCTCTGGGTTCGTGGCACAGCAGGTTGTTCCACTTTAGGAGCCAATTTGGTCATAAGTAGGAAGAGAAATAACATCTGATGGAGAAAAAAAATTCCCTCTCTGTTCCCATTTGGATGTGTTTCTGGCCTGAGACTTTGCAGATCATAAATGATGCAAACGCACAATATAATGCAGGTCAATCAAATATGAGACAGTTGTATACAAACATATTCAGCATTAACAACATGGAGATATTTACTTGGCCGGGTTTTCCATTTTCACATAAAAATGCCTCATATTCGGATGCGAATTCAGGGGCGTTGTCATTGACATCCAGCACTTTAATAGCAACAGGTACTCGTGATATCTGACTGTGGTTCCCTATGGGAAGGAAAAAATAACATCAGCATTGAGGGTATTTCATTTTAACGTGCAACTCAACTTTCTCTTGAAAGCATGTGGGTCTGTTTCCAACTTCCCTTAATTAGGATGTTTTCAACATGGTGATTATAGAGTCTGACCAAGTAAGAAAAATAGCAAGTGCTTGACTGCTTTAAAAAAAGCATAAATTGTTATTTCAAACACCATTTGCTGGAGTTTAGCTTGATAAAGACCATATCTGAATAAATTAAAAGAGGTTTCTTTGATAAAGCAAGCTTTATTTTACTGATAAAATACATTCTTTAAAAGAAAAGTGTTGTATACAGCAAAAATGTATCTCTTTTTTTCTTGAGTAGAACATAACCCATTTTAAGCTATTACTTGCTTGACTGGCTGTATAATAGAGATGAACACTTAAAACCTAGCAAAAGGCCAGAACCAAATCACTTGTTGAGAAGTGGTCCTTAACAATGACAAAAGAGATAAGATTAAAGATGAAGTATCATATATTTTATGAATTGCATTTTTCATTAAAATTGACCCTGGAATATTTTTGGATAAGATGATCCCAAGTCATTTTAATATTGTCATTTTCATGAAGATTTTTGTCAATGTAAATGAAGAATAATCTTCTAATCTTTCCAGGTCAATTCCAATAGCAGAGAACTCAATATAAAATCCTTAATCCCCAAATCCTTATTTTTTAAAATTATATATATACACACACACATAGAAGGAGATCTAGTCCATTAATACACTGCTGACTTGGGCCATGTTATGATTTTCACTTGCAATAAATGAAATATAGTTTGACTTTGTACCATGTAATAATCTTTTGATCTGTTATAAATTATACAGAATGCATTGGAGATGGCCAATTATTTACTTGTGTTTCTGTGGCACTGAATATTTATAAGCAAGTAGAGAGGGGAAAAATGTTTGGCTTTGAATATTGACAAACAGACTTGCATTTGATATATCAAACTCCTCTTTTTGACAATTGATTACATTTGGAGCTCTAAAATACTCATTTTTTTTGCTTAAAGACAAAAGTACTCCTAAAGCATACACCAAAAAGCTATAGCTATGCTACAGATTTACAGTTGGTTTGCCCTGCTGGCTCTGCTACAAGATTTGAATGTAGTTGAGTGCCATGACAGCTCTCCAATATTCTAATTTGGTTAACTACAAGTGGCTGAATACTATCCCGAGGAATAAAGGGAACTTGACTTCACTTCCCAAAAATCAAGGTGATGGCCTGAAATGTCTCACTGGAGATATATATACACACACACACACATATATATGTGTGTGTGTGTGTATATATATGTGTGTGTGTGTATATATATGTATATGTATATATACACATATATATACGTATGTGTGTATATATATATAATGAACTTGTTTATTCTTCATTTAGGGAGGAAACATGCACTTTCCTAGTTTTGATAGAAGGAAGAATCTAAATAGAAGTTTAACATATGACTCTAAGACAAGGAACTCATATTTTATCCTTTATCTATTCAACAAAACTCTACAAAGTTTACAATTTAAGTAAGGTATGGTTATATATTTAAATATTTACTTCCATTTCCCAGTCTGACCATTAGCTAAGTAGCAGTTCTTGGAGAGTAAAAAGGAGCATAGCGTTTTGTGGTAAACATGCGCATTTGGAGCCCCAGCTTTCCCTTCTACTACTTGTGTGACTCTGAGCAAATAATTTAAACTCAATTTTTTTCCTAAAAACACTGCAACTCAGGAACTTTGGTTATAGAATTATTACAAATGTTATGTGAGAAAAAATTAAAAGTGTCTCATACAGTATTGGACACACATTCAAAGGTATTCTAGCCTTTGCCTTTTGCAATTTTCAACATCAACAGCACCATATATATTGAATGTTTACTATTCATGATGCAAAATATTTCGCATAATCATATTTCATTCAATCTGCACAAAAAATCTATGAAGTAGCTAATGGGATCCCCATATGTAAGATGTAAACCTGACACTTAAAATATTATATAATTTTACCAAGATTACTAAGTTAAGCATTGACTTCAAAATGTGATTTTGCTCTTCCAGACATAAGCCACTTTCATAGCATAATACTGATGAAGTCCAAAAAAATACATATACGTGTGTGTTTGTGCCTGTGTGTGTGTATGAAGGTTACTAATTATTACTATCTCCTCAAGAATGTATATATATTTGGTACAAATACTTACCTGAAGTTTGATCAATATTTAAGGCTTTGGCCCAAATATGAAATACCAAATGTCTAAGGGGTTGTACCATCAATAATAGTTTCAGAATTGCACTCATAATCTGCAACCCTCCCTATGAAACTGTGCAATTTAACTTCCAGAATTTTGCTCATGGTCCTATTTCACCCAACTGGAGTCCTGTTAATTGATTAATTTCCTCTTGTAATTCTCTGTTGCAATTCCAAGAATTGCTGGTTATTCCTCTTAACTCTGTAACACTCATTCTTTCCGTTCTACATCCTAGACCAATTTTTGTGTATGTAAATAATTAAAGAAACTTCTACTAGATATTTTTACTTTAATCTCACTAAGTATTCAATTAATAAATAACGATTAGCACAGGCTTAATAAACTGTATGTAAGATTAGACAGTGAATAATAGGGGCACAGTCTTAGAAAACTGAAAGTATAAGCAAAAGCTACCATATTCCTTAAACATTATTTTGCTCCTTCTGAAGTGAAAAAATTGCTAATCTTATGGATTCAGATACACTGACAATGGTTGATTAGGCCAAGTCAATTATGTATGATATTATTCTTTGCTTTCCTTATCTTTAATGTTACATGCACACACACACACACACACACACATTCATATCTACACACTACAAGCAAACATGCATATACACATTTTCTTCCCACTCTTTTGGTTAAAAAATTGTCAAAGTCCATTCTTAGTTTTCTCTTTTCTTTTTAATTTGGCCTCATAGTTGCAATACATTGCAAATATCTCTTAGACCTAGATGACTGACAGGGGGCAAAACTCAGGCATAAAGGGTGAACAAACTCCATCAGCTTCTTATTGGAGGCAATTTTCAACATTAAAGTAGCTTTTCTCATATGTCGCATATGGGACAAAGTGGTATTTATCTATTCCTGGGGCCCAGTGCAAAATGCCAACTAATATTTTTTTAGGAACAATGTGGGATTAGGGAGCTATTACTTAACACTGTTGGAAAATCATAAATGACATAGAATGTTTTTTCAATTATCTTAATTCATGTGTCCCAGCATCTCTACAAGCAACTAATGTTTTAGTATAATGGTCAAAGAACTCTTTGTAAATAATTAGTATTTTCTTCTTTAGTTTGTGGTTCTTTATAGTTCTGTGAGAAACTCGGAACTAAATTTGGAACCCACTTTTTATAGCTGTAAATAATATCATGATGTACAAATTCAACTATTTTTTACATTTATTTAACAATTACGCAAGTGTACTAAATTAATTTGTTCTTATTTAGTTGTGTTGTAGATATTTCTAGATGTTTCCTTTTCATATTGTATCTATTTCTTTAGAAAAATTAAATGAAATAAAACCTAAACTGTTTACTCTGCACTGAAAAGCTATTTCCAGGTGGTTAGAATTTCTCTAGTTCTCCCTCAAAATTTAGCATAAATCACATCTCTTCCAGAAAGTCTTTTTAACACATGGTTCAATTTTGTTTATTTTCTTGTTGTTGTTTTTTAAGACTTATTACATGATAGCCTGAGGAACTCTACAAACCCAGTCTCCAGAAAACTGATGAAAGTTTTTTAAAAATAATTATAGTCTATGGAAAAAGTCCTAAGGGATACAGCAGGTGAGACAAAAAGACTGAGGTCACTGCCTCCTTCTCTCCACAAAGCACTTCACTCCTAAAGAAAAGAGTTTCCAAGCCATGGCTCACATATTTTGCTTGGGAGTGAAAGAGAAAAGCAGGCCATGAAGCAGAAAGTTCCTTCATATACAAAGGAATGTGAAGTTCAAGCCTAAGGGTAAACTCAAAACATTAAATGTTGCTATGACAGACAAATGAGAGAGAGAGTGTTGGTAGATCTGGTAGATTCACTGGAGAGGTAGGCTAGTTGCCAGAGAGAATGCAGATAGAGTCAGTTGAAATTAGCCTTCTAGGAAAAATAACAAATCTCAAACATTTATCTAGGGAATCATTTCTTCACCAGAGCCCAAATTTGAATGGATCTTACTGTGGAACAAATTATGACGTAGGACACTTTCGAAAACAATTGAACAGCTGGCTGGCAATTAAACAACCTTAATAGCTGGATGAGGTCAGGGACAGAGACAATCAAAGAGAGTCCTGCCAAAACCACTGTATTTCCAGGTGTTTATGTAAATATCCAACACTATTCCTCTGGAGAAGAAAGCTCACATACTTTACACCACTGTGGGAAAAAGGTTTTACTAAAACAATTCAGCAAGTCACAAACAAGTGAGTAAACAGTAATTGCAAACTCCAGGGGAACATTGGTAACTAGAACTGCTACATTGTATTATTGAAAATATCTAGTTTCCAAAAAAAGTTACAAGACATGAAAATAAACAAACAATAAATTATGACCCACAGGTGAGAGAAAAATCAGGCAAAAGAAATCATATGTGAGAGTAACCATATGCCAGATTTAACGGAGTTCAAAGTAGCCATTAACATATATTAAAAGAAGGCATAATTAAATATGTAAACGAAGATACCATAACAACATAACATCAAGTAGAAGATATCACTAAAAAGGCAGAAATTATTAGAAAGGAAGCAAATGGAAATTCTGCAGTAGGAAATTACCATAACCGAAATTTTAAAATTCACTAGAGAGACTCAAAAGTAGATTTAAATTGGCAGAACAAAGAATTAGTGAAGATCAGCAGAGATTTTGCTAACCAAAGAACAGCATTTAAAAAAAAATAAAAATGAGCAGAGCCTCAGTGAAATATAGGACACCATTAAGTGTCAT